AACCATAACTTGACTTGGTAGGTATACTATAATCTCGTAGTTAAAACCATAACTTGACTTGGTAGGTGTATTATAATCTCGTGTTAAAACCATAACTTGACTTGGTAGGTATATTATAATTTGTGTTTAAACCATAACTTGACTTGGTAGGTATATTATAATCTCGTGTTAAAACCATAACTTGACTTGGTAGGTATATTATAATCTTGTGTTAAAACCATAACTTGACTTGGTAGGTATATTATAATCTTGCGTTAAAACCATAACTTGACTTGGTAGGTATATTATAATCTTCTGTTTAAACCATAACTTGGTTTGGTAGGTGTTTTATAATTTGTGTTTAAACCATAACTTGACTTGGTAGGTGTTTTATAATCTCCTATTCAGGGCATACAATTCAAGCAAGATGTACAGAGAACTGAAGCTTCGTGGAGCTGTGATCCAAAACAAGCAACTTAAAGTTCTGGCAGAGGAGAAGATATATAGTAAAATCAATGGTGTCTGGAACTTATCTAGTGATCAGGTGTGTGGCCCAGTTTTTGTTTGGTTAAAACTCTACATTCATGTAGTGTGTGTTTGTATATGGATGGATGCCAACAAACATGCCTTGAAACTATTTGTATCAGCTTATTAGCTTGTAGTTCACAAATATTTTAAGTTAGCAAACAAAACAAAGTGTTAAAATGATGAAAATACACACAATTAGTCGAATGTTAGTTACGAAGAACGTCCCCAAGTTTCCCTAAGGAACAAAACGTTCATGTTGGCATGCCACACGAACTCTTTAATATCAGCCTGCCTTACATACAGATGGTGAGAAAAACAAAGCATTTTTTATAGATACTGAACACACGTATCTTTTAAGAATGATCAGGAAAGGATTATAGGCATTCAAGAGGTTGAAGTACTGTATAATAAAACTTAGTTTTTTTCAACTATTTAAGTTCCTTAGCTTTATAGTGTTAGAATCAGAGAAAGAGTGTTATATAAAAAATAATTTTTAGTTTAATGATTTATTTTTGAAACAAAATTATACGTGAGATATTTGTAAATATCAAACGCTAGCATAAAATTTTGAGCTAAGCTAAACTGTAAACTAATTTTTGTTTTTTCCAATTTTGAGAAATAAAATAATAAAATGTTTTTCTTTAGAACTTGACTTACTTAACTAACTTGAAATTTTTTTTTGTCAGGGTTATTAATTATTGGATATTTTTACAAGTGTTTGCTGTGCACCAGTAAATAGATGAGTTGTTTAATTAAGTCAGCAGAGAGTTTAAGTTATAGGCCAGAAAAAATAGCTCTAATACTATTAGTTACATTAATTGTTAATAGGTGATTAAATCAGCGCTATAAAACAATAATGAACTTAATATAAAATAAGCATTGCCATTGTTGGAGAATTAATTAAGGGAATACAGAGCTGAGTGCTACAGACAGTGAAATGCAGTAGGAGTTAAAATGTTGTGGGTGTAAGCACTCAGCTCCTTATCCTTAGTTAATTTTACATGATATCTGGACAGTTTATCATCAGCATTTGGATATTGTCTGATAGATTGGATATCTCCAAGGCATTATCTGTTATTACATGAAATTGACAACTAGGACCTACATCGGCAATGTTTATTATATACATATATTTATTTTGTTGTTGTTGTTGTTGTTTTTTAACACACTAAATCTGAGTATTTTGTGAACTTATTCATTAAGAAAACCTGAATTCGTGTCTGTCGTCTTTTCAATTATATTTTTGATAAGCCATCAATCAGAAAACTCTGCGGGTGTCCATCTTTTTAAAATATTAACTCCTACGATAATGGTTTTGTTTTACAGTTACTAATGAAATTTCATGGCACACTGAAAGAGTTGGTAATGTACAAAGCTACGTGCAGTTTTAGTCTATAGTGTGTTAACAAACTACGTGTTTCAATAATATATACCAGTAAAATGATTCATAACATCATCTGTCTGTCCATTCTGATTTTAGTGACGAGGGTATATTGGGGCCATGAAACCTTATAAGTGTAGTGAGTGTTGGTATAATAAATCTAAAATAAAGATGTAGTGTTGGATCACATAGTCTGGACACATGTATCATGACAGTAAAAATATTGATTCAGTTTTAAACTTAAATCGTTTCTGAATTAAGCTATTTTCTGTTATGTCACTAACGTTTTAAATAAAAAAACAAACCTCTTTAATCAATGGAGTCTCAAAATTAAGAGATCAACAAATATTTTTCCAGTTTTGTTGTCAATATATTTCATTTTGATACTTTCAATACATAGACTAACAACAATATGAGGTTATACTTTTGTTGCTAAGCAACATGACATAAAAGCCATTGTTAGAACATAGTGTTACCAAAATGCACTGGCTTTTCTATGTATTAGAAGCTGTTAATCTAACTGATTTTTACCAATAATTATTCTATAAATACACCACATTGTTTCATGAATGACCTTAATATTGATTGGCTTACAAAGGAATTTACTAATGCTTGACTGCCTCGACTGTACTTTTCTGC